GTCGAACGATGGGTAGCAAACTTCGGCTGCCCTTCAACCATCACTACAGATCGTGGGCGTCAGTTTGAATCTGAACGTTTTCGTTGTCTGATCACAATTTTAGAAATCACTCGATTCCGAACGACCGCCACCCACCCACAAGCAAACGGGTTAGTAGAACGTTCTCACCGAAAACTAAAAGCTTCACCATCAGCTGCAAACGTTCCACGGTGGACCAATGCTCCTCCACCCGTCACACTAGGTATCCGCAATGCAGTGACAGCTAACATTGGATACACTGCGGCTCAACTGGTTTATGGAACAACACTTCGACTTCCAGGAGAATTCGTGGATCCTTCATCCTCTTCAATGAACATGGATCTAACATACTACACGAACAGGCTTACAAACGCAATGCGTTCAGTTATACCTGCTTCCACTCGACCTCAATCAACTGATGTTTTCGTTCAACTTGACTTACGATATAGTACAAACGTTTTCATTCGTCGAGACTCGCATCGACGACCATTCGAATCAGCGTACGAAGGACCCTTCAAAGTTCTTCAACGTGAATCTAAGTACTATATAGTCGATAAGAATGGAACCAACGATAGCATCAGCATCGATCGCTTAAAAGCAGCGTATTTAGAAGGAAATCCTATCTACGTGGATTTTCCTTCGATACAATCGAACGACACGACTCCGACACTTATAATTCCTCATCCGACAACCAACACACACGATGATACTTCGACAGTATCTGAAAATAAACCTAAAACGACGCGTTCTGGAAGAAGAGTAAGATTTCCAGAACATTTAAACGACTACTGCACGTAAAGCACTGTTCGACATTTAATATTATCTCGATCTTTCTTTTTACGATATATAATATTTAAAAAAACAATTTTAATATGCTTATATATTTATTTTTTTATTTCAAAAAGAGACAAAAATCATTATAATTTTTTTTAACGCTATTACGTGCGCTTGAGTTTATTTTCCATTTTTTTCGCCGACATTGTGTTTTTACGCACATACGAGTGTATTTCGACATGCACTTACACTTTCTTTTTTCTTTTCGAGGACGGTTGGAAAAGAACGATGATATCTCTTGTTGGGTAAGAATTATATTAGAAGGTGTTGCTGGTAAAAGCGTTGTCAAACACTGAATATCTGTGCCATATTCGGGAAGAATATTCTAGAATTCCAACGTGTAGCTCCCTGATTAGACAATACTAATAACCCTCTGTATGCGGATTGAAGGACTGTAATGGTGATTTCGTTATTACTAAAATCTGTAAATACCTGACGATTTTGTGCTATAATTGATACAGTCTGGGAATATTATTCCCTTCATTGGTCTTCTGTCTTCTCATTGCGAATTGGAAGGATTCTGCCGTTCTAGTGCTCACGTTATACGCGGCATATCAACAAAAACCTTCTAGATATAACAATAGGAAATAGTTATCAAGAGATATACTTAGATCGAAAATATTTCTGTCAGTCCATGCTGACGGAGATCAGTGAACTGCTCAACATTCAGTGGTCCAACTGCTGAATTATTTATCTTGCACTCAGTGACATTTCACTGGCCCAACAGATTAATTGGAGCTGAATAGTAGTTGAAAGGGATGCGCAGCACGACTCACACACTCTTGATCTTGTGTGGACGCCTGAACGAGCTGCTTCAGCTAGATGTGTCCATTAAAACTAAAGGGGTCATCATCAACTGTCGAGGCCTTACAGAGCTATAGATTCTGAAGATGTATTTTTCGTGACAACAGTTTTCCGAACAGATGACCGCTGATCACAGCTTCTTATATGTGTAGCGATTCACATCTAGCCAGAAAGTACTTTTATACGGCCTAGCAATTCCACACAATGCACTTACATATAATAACGAGAGCAATCAATAACAATCAGAACCAACAAAAGACCCGGATTCACACAATCTTGGAATCAAAGCGAAAATCAGACGGTATAACTCACTACAATATACATATTTCTCGGGAGTTTTGAAGAAAGAGATATATTATTGAAAAGCGCACTAAAAGCTCGTGACTCAAATATCCGTATTCGACCAGATTGGCCGCTTGAGGATCGAATGAAGTGGAAGAATGCTCTTACAGAGTTGAGGACTCGCAAATTAAATGGCGAAAATAACCTTACCATTAAGGGTTTTCGGGTATTCAGGTCTTGGAAGCCAATGCTTCCGAGGCCTGTATGAGTAGAACGATTGGTTTCCAAAACACCTTAAGTGTGTGCTACACGAACGCTCGTAGTCTTAGAAATAAAACGTCCGAGCTAAGTCTGATGGTGCAAGAATTGTGTCCCGATATAATCGTTGTTACAGAAACTTGGTTCACCGTTGATATAAACTGTTCTCCTTTCATTGCTGGTTATATGTGTATTAGAAGTGATAGAGTTTCAAGTCGCAAAGGGGGAGGTATAATATTATACGTTAGGGATCACTTTCGTATACAATCAACCATATCGGAGGCTCATATCAGTGGCACATGTGAGGTTGCATGTTGTAAGATTAAATCTAGAAATAGGTTAGTGACTATAGGGGGAATATACCGTAGTCCGTCTTGTCTTGCTGACGACTTTATCCTAAGACACATCTGTTCTTGGAGTATGGCAGAATGTTGTCTCATCAGTGGGGACTTCAACGCACCGCATATCAACTGGATAGAACTTACAGCTCCAGGTAGTGGTTTTGATAGCTGTCTTTTATCTACCGTTATTCAGTGTGCACTTGTAAATGTATCACAAAACCGACACATATTGATTTGCAACATGATCCGTCACTGCTGGACCTTGCCTTCATCCACCACTGTGAGGATGTCTTTGATATTCAGCACCTTACCCCACTAGTGAACAGTGATCACGTTGTAATTCACTTTAAGTTTGGGACACATGGCATACGATTTGTATCTGCTCCACCCCGTCCCAATATATGGCGAGCCAATATTCCGGCGATCAGAAACTGCAATGTCAACCGACTGGTCGGTCGACGCGGATGGATTGATCGAAGATGAATGGAATAAGTTTAAGGCTACATTCGAGGTCGTAACGTCGCCGTTTATCTCATGGTCAGCACGTAAGCTATCACATTGCCCTCCATGGATTAATTAGGAAACCCGGAAGCTGTCAAAGCGTAGGAAACATTTCTGGGACTTATTCTTGTTGACAGGTCATGCACCATTTAAGCGTGAGTACCAGAAATTCCGAAATATCTGTAAGAAAACCATAGCCAAATCCCGTACCACTTACGAACGACAGTTAGTATATGATAGCCGTACTTGTCCGAAACGATTGTTTTCATATGTTAAACGGCAAATGAAACGTAGTGATGATATTCCCCCGTTACTGTTACAGGAAAATTCAAATTTACTAGCTGAATCAGATCGAGCAAAAGCTGAGACTTTTTCAAACTATTATAGCGAAATCTTCTCTACGTTTATTGTAACAAATACTTGTCCCACTAACACCGAGATACCAACCATTGAATCTGTACAGGAGACTGTGGAAACTATCCTTCCATCGATAACTAACCTCAAACCTGGTAACATGCCGGGCCCTGATGGGTTTCATCCACGGCTGTTGTCGTCTCTTGAGGGCATTATTTCAGCATGTCTCTCTCACTCGCTTAACTCCCTAGAGATTGGAAAGGCGCTATAGTCAGTCCTATATTTAAGGATGGTCAGAGACAGATAGTATCTAACTACCGGCCTGTCAGTCTAACTAGAATTGTCGTTAAGTTACTTGAAAAGATAATTCGGGTTGGTTTCCTAAGCCACATGGATTTACACAGTCTGTTAGCTCCTGAGCAACACGGATTTCGTAACAAGCATTCATGCTCGACTAATTTGCTTATTGCGAGGGAGGATTGGACAGCAGCCTTAGATAACGGTCTGTTTGTCGATGTGATATTCAAAGATTTTAGCAAAGCATTTGACAAGGTTTCACATGTAGGTCTTATGCAGAAGCTCACGAGCTTCGGAATAATAGGTACTGTACATGAGTGGATAGGAAATTTCTTATGTCACCGATGACAGAGAGTGAGGGTCAACGGAACGCTATCTAATTGGAAGCCGGTCAAATGTGGTGTACCCCAAGGCACCATCTTAGGCCCTCTGCTCTTCCTTCGCCATGTTAATGAGTTACCGCTGTTACTTGGGTCGTCGACATTATTGTTTGCGGATGATGTAAAAATCTGGAGAACAATAAAAAGTGAGGCTGATCATGTGGATCTTCAAGCTGACTTAGACGATTTAGTTAGGTGGGCTCGAGAGTGGGGCTTAGAAATCAATTCTAGGAAGAGTGTGCTAATGCACGTCGGTCACGGTAATAGTTACCGTTACACTATTGAGGGTAAAACTCTTCCACGCGTTCAAGAGCATAAGGACTTAGGAGTAATATTAAGTCATGATTTAAAAACAACTGCGCATTGCAAAGCAGCCACTGTCAAAGGTTTTCGTGCGTTATAGTCACTTCGCTGAGCGTTCAAATATTTTGACGAGAAAACGTCTCGAGTTTTATATCCCATATATGTTAGACCACATTTAGAGTACTGTATCCAAGCCGCTAGCCCCTGTCTGGTAAAGGGTCTTTGTAAAATCCCTTTCGATGAGCGTTTAAAACTCCTAAATCTTTTCCCCTTGTCGCATCGTAGGACACGAGGTGACCTTATACTGGCATTTCTTATCTTTAATTATGATTTGGGTGTTAATATATCTTATCTTTTTGCTCTCTCCAGCACTAATAATTTCCGAGGCCATAGCAAGAAGGTTCATAAACCACGATCTAATAAACTTAAAATAAGGTCTTGTTTTTCTCATCGAGTAGTCAATCATTGGAACGCCTTACCCGAACGAGTGGTATCAGTCCCGTCAGTGAATACTTTCAAAGAAAAGCTGGACCTTCACTGGTAAGCGATGTGTCAGGATTAATACAGGTTCACCAACCTACTATCCTTATTACTGAAGACTGCCACAAGTGTGACACAAGTGTTCACTGTACAACATGTGCTTTTAAGTGCGCGAGATTTGGGATTATCAAATGTCCAGCAAAGTGGGTAACTTTAGGGTTTAGCAGGAAGTGGGGTCCTTCATATGTAAAGTTTGTTACTTTCTATATCATCTGTCAGGTCTTTTTTGAGAAAGTGATCATTTACATCTATGAATCGACCGTAGTTTATAACTCGTAGATAAATATTCTCAATCAGCCAACTTAAATTATGTAAACTATAATAATGTGAATGAAAAATGAACATTTTTGAAAGACACTTTTTACAAGAAATAATTCGGTTGAGAGTGCAGCCTTGTGGAAATAGTCTTCACTCTCTAATCCGTATTCTGGGATACACTTCTTGAAAGTGACACTATCACTAATTTCTCACAAATTGAGATAAAAAAGTCTACTGTGTTATGAAAAGTCCGTCACCTAGTCTATTTCTCGTCACGACGTTTGCATGGTTTTTCACTTATTCCGGAAACACTCACCGTCTGCCTTTCTAAACAGGTTGTATGTTGAAAGTGATTTATATATTCGCAAGCATTTTCACAGTTTACAGAAATATTGACAACGCTGAAGCAACGGTCACGCGTCTTTGTTGTCACTAATAACCATAGATTAACTCAGCCCTGATATGTTTTGAAAGTAGCATTTCATGCTGGGTTTACTAAGCAAGAACACTCCTTTATTTATTTATTTAAACATGAACATTGGTACAAGAAGATTGGTTTATACGCCATTTGTTCGTTCACTATCCTCGAGCCTATGCACACCACTGGTTTGGAATCAGGGTTTTTCAACTCCCCTTTGTGGCTACCAATCCGGTTAGTGTCGGACATTTGTTTTTCGTCCTCTTAATTTCGTAAACAACCCCACCGCGGGAAAAGTGAGTAATACTTCCCTGGTGATGGCTGTACACGCGTGGCCACGTGAGGGTATTACGTGAGGGAAAGCAGACTCTCCTTACTCTCGGCCGTACCAGGGCATTTGGGGTCATTGTCACTTAAGCCCCCTGAATGCCCTGGTACGGCCCCCTGAATGCCCTGGTACGGCCGAGAGTGGGGAGAGTCCGCTCTCCCTCTCGAAATACTCTCACACGGCCACGCGTATATAGCCTCTGCCAGGGAAGTCCTACTCATTGCCTTCTCGTGGCGGGGGTGTTGTTTACGAAAATGAGAGGACGAGAAGCGAATGTCCGGCGCTTTAACCGGATTCCAAACCAATGGTGCACATGGGCTCCAGTATCCTGCGGGAACGAATGGCGTATGAACCAATCTTTGGTCACCGGCTACCATGGGACTGCATCTCCTTACGATGCTCCACTGCCTTGTGGGTTAGACCTTTAGGTCAAAGGCTCGGGGAGTGGCCCCCTAAGATAACCACCTGCTTCGGTTTGGGCACCCGGGCAGTATCACAGCCCACACACAAATGATGAACTGTTTATGTCTATGGAAACTACTTTTGTCGCTTTGAAAAACAATCAATTGATTCAAATTATGATCACTTCAATTATTGTCATTATTAATAATAATATTATTATCACTACTGTTATTGTCATTATTGTTATTTTTATCATTATTATTATTATTTTCCACATTATTCACCTTCTTTTATACTTATACAGCGGCTCGTCTTTGGTGGAATTCCGACTGTATCTAAACGTTCTCGAGTCACTGTCCGGTTGAAAATTGTATGTTACCACCGAATACGAGGACTGAAGCAGATTTTCTGAAACCACGTGCATCACTCAAACTGGCTGCCTTCAACGTTCGCACATTTATGCAGGTCGGACAACAGATAGGGCTGGCTATGTCTTTAGAAAGTCTTAATATCGATGTTTGTTGTCTATCCGAGACCCGTATTCAAGACTCTGGCGAAGTACTACAAATTCGATCTCCATCTGTCGCTTCGAAAAGCTTGTTTTACGTGCGCTTATCCGGGGACCCTGTGGCATCTTCGTCTGGTTTTGCTGGCGTTGGTGTCGCACTAAGCGCTAGAGCTGAGGCAGCACTAGTCGATTGGATCCCCATTAACAGTCGGTTATGTGCTGTTAGATTAGAAAGTTCCATCAAAGCGAGAAGAAATCGGCGTGAGAAACGATGTCTTTTCGTCATCTCCGCCTATGCCCCGACAGATTGCAGCCCGGATGCAATCAAGGATGAGTTTTACCACCAGTTATCAGTTCTTCTCCAGAAAGTGCGTTCGACAGATATTGTAGTACTAGCCGGAGACTTGAATGCTCAGGTCGGGCGTCTAGGCACAGAAGAGAGTCGTTTAGGTGGCCGATGGGGACTCGTTGGTCGCAGGTCAGATAACGGGGACCGTCTACTGCAACTTTGCGCAGACCACAACCTGTTTCTGGCTAGCACTAACTTTCGGCACAGTCATCGCCGATGTGCCACCTGGCGTCCTCCCTCTGCATCTCAAGCCTGGACTCAGATTGATCACATCGCGATCAGCTACCGCTGGCGTGGTTGTGTACAAGACTGCCGCTCCTTTTGGAGTACCTATCTGGACTCTGACCATGCCTTGGTCTGCGCCAATCTTGCCTTACTTTTCAGTGGACAACGAAGTGAACGCCATCAACGGATTGATGTTAGCAAGCTGGTTGCAACTTCTGTTGCAAGTAAGTATCGAACCGAGCTAGCCTCTAGGCTAGCTACCACTCCACCGGAAAGTATAGATGAGCATTGGTTGCAATTGCATGACGCCATGAAAATGGCGGGAACAGTCAGTTGTGGGTTTGCGAAACGTCCCGCTTTTAAGCACTGGGTTTCTGCAGGTTCCTTACAACTCATTGAAGCCCGTCGGTCTACTCCGGGTAACCGTGAGTTTGACCATAAACGAAGGTTTTTACGTAATGAAATCGGGCAAAGCTTGCGTAAGGACCGAGAAGCCTGGTGGTCGATGCGTGCTAATGAGCTGGAAGCAGCAGCTGCATCTGGTAACTACCGGAAGCTCTTCCAACTCATCCGAGCCACTGGCAGCAAGAAGTCTGGTGTGAGTGAAACAATCTGCGAGGATGATGGGATGCCAATCACTAACATCCATCGACGTCTTGGACGATGGGCAGAATTTTTCGAAGGGCAGTTCAACTGGCCTGCTGCTCCGGCAACATCGGTCAGACTGTCCTGCCCTCCATGGCCGGTGACGACTGATCCACCAAATGAGGAGGAAGTCCGCAAGGAACTCCAACTCTTGAAGCGTTACAAATCACCTGGCCCAGATGACTTACCTCCGGCTCTTTTTAAAGATGGTGGTGACTTTTTGACTAAGGAATTGACGACGTTGTTTACAAAGGTTTGGGATCTAGAGAGTGTACCAACGTCATGGAATGAGTCGATAGTTGTCCCTATCTTTAAAAAGGGTTCACGTCGTTCTTGTAACAACTATCGGGGGATAAGTTTACTTCCGATTGCGTCCAAGCTATTGGCTTCCGTCATTCTTCGTAGGTTGTTCAAAACCCGAGAAAGATTGACTCGCGAGGAGCAGGCTGGGTTTCGTTCTGGTCGAGGATGTATTGATCATATCTTCACCCTCCGCCAAATGTTAGAACACCGCCATACTTTTCAAAGGCCAACAATCGTAGTGTTTCTTGACATCAGGGCTGCCTTCGATTCGTTGGATAGGACTGTTCTCTGGGATTGTCTATTGAAGAAGGGTGTGCCTGAGAAGTTTATTAACATCCTAAAAGCCCTGTATAAAAACACCTCAGGCAGAGTGAGGGCATACAACCACCTCTCTCCATTGTTCCATTCGAGCAGTGGGGTTAGGCAGGGTTGCCCAATCTCACCATTCCTCTTCAACTTTGCCATCGATGACATTCTGGAAACAGCTCTGATGAATGTAAGTAATGGTGGTGTGGATCTGTTGCCTGGAGAAAGACTTCTCGACCTTGAGTATGCGGACGATATTGTCTTACTGTGCGATAATGCCCAAGGCATGCAATCCGCACTTAATCAGTTGGCAATCAATGTCCGTAGGTATGGTATGTGCTTTGCACCTTCGAAGTGCAAAGTACTTCTACAAGACTGGCAGGATTCTAATCCTGTACTCACCCTGGACGGTGAGCAGATAGACGTAGTTGAGAAGTTCGTGTATCTGGGTAGCTGCATAAGTGCTGGTGGGGGTGTGAGTGATGAGATCAATGCACGAATAGTGAAAGCCAGAGCGGCTTATGCCAATCTGGGCCATCTATGGCGCCTTCGTGATGTTAGTCTGGCTGTAAAAGGCCGGATCTACAACGCGTCGGTGAGAGCAGTTTTGCTCTATGCTTGTGAAACCTGGCCTCTCCGAGTTGAGGACGTTAGACGACTCTCTGTGTTCGATCATCGCTGTCTCCGAAGGATTGCTGACATTCAGTGGCAACACCATGTCAGTAATGCAGAGGTTCGGCATCGTGTGTTCGGGCACAGAGATGATAACTCAATTGGTGTCACCATCTTGAAACACCGACTTCGGTGGCTTGGACATGTTCTCCGAATGTCGTCCCACAGAATTCCACGTCGTGCATTATTTGCCGACTCTGGGACTGGTTGGAAGAAGCGGAGAGGTGGTCAGTGCATGACATGGTGTCGTGGCATGAAAGAAAGCTGCAAAGGACTGGCTTGTGTTGGTCCTTCACGACTCCCTGGTTGGGGTCCGAGAGATGGTGCAACACAGTGGCTAGAGACGTTATCAGATATGGCTCAGAATAGAAGCCAGTGGCGATCCTGCTGTAACCTTCTTTTACTTTCTTCATAAAAAGTGGTTGTGTCTCATTTACGTGAAAGATTTCTTCTGATTGTACCTCTTCGTCATTACTCTCTTTTTCTTTTGCGTTCCTTAGTTTTTTTTTTTTTTTTCTTTCTACTTCTCTTCGAATTCCCATTGTTTTGTGTGGCGCATATATATTGGCGCTCTCTTGTACCAATATTTATGTGTTCAAATAAATAAATAAATAAATAAATAAATAAGCTCATAATTGTCGTTTGTATCATTCCAAAATAAAATAAACATCGTTTAGTGCTCTAAACTTTTTCCTTTGACTTCATCCTCAAGTGTTATCATGACCGGTGATTCTAGCGCACGAAATACTGTCCTAGGTTTATTGAAACCTCGCTCCAAACTACTCATTGGAGCCCTCAACGTACGTACTTTTTGTCAAATCGGCCATCAGGCCTCCTTGCCTAAGACCCTAGTATCTCGTGCCATCGATGCATGCTGCCCCTGAAACACATACAGGATCCTGTGGTCATTCACTTGACCTTGCCTAACCAAAATGGGAGCCTATCCCCCATGTATCTGGCAACCCAATGGCTAGTTCTCGTGGACTGGCGGGTATAGGTATAGCACTATGAGGGCAGAACAAGCACTTTTAGGATGTATCCTCGTTAGAATTTGCCTATGTGCTGTCCAGCCAAACTGTCCTGTAAGAACTCGTAAGGATAGGGACGCCATTTTTTTCGTTTCTGCCTACACTCTCACTGAATACAGAGGACGGGTAATGGTGACCGTCTGTTACAACTGTGCCTAGACAATCGTTTATTCTTAGCAAACTAATTTTAAGTACAAGGAGAGACGTCTAACATGGCGACCCTCCTGACCAAACCAACACTGGACTCAAATAGACCATATTGTCATCAACCATCGTTGGAGATGCTTGATAGAAGACTTCAGCTCGTTTTGCAGTACATGTTTAGACTCTGATGATGCTGTAGTACGAGCACACATTTGCCTGTGCTTTACTGGACGCAGAAATACCATACTAAGAAGACCCATTAGAATTGAACTCGGCAATGAATAAGCCAAAAGTATATTACAGCATGAAGGACTCCATAGACGCCCAACTTCGTGACCAACAGGCAGGATTCCGTAAGGATAGATCGTGTACAGACCAAATCGCAACTCTACGGATCATTGTGGAACAATCAATTGAATGGAATTCATCACTCTACATCAACTTCCTTGACTATGAAAAAGCATTTGATAGCGTGGACAGAACAGCACTATGGAAGCTTCTTCGATACTACGGCGTGCCTCAGAAGATAGTCAATATCATACGGAACTCCTATGATGGGTTAAACTGCAAAATTGTGCGTGGAGGACAATTGACAGACTCGTTCGAGGTAAAGACCGGTGTCAGGCAAGGTTGCTTACTCTCACCCTTTTCTTTCTCCTGGTGATCGACTGGATCATGGAGACGTCAACATATGAAGGGAAACACAGGATACAGTGGACATCTAGGATGCAGCTGGACGAACTAGACTTCGCAGATGATCTGGCCCTTCTATCGCAATCGCAACAGCAAATGCAGGAGAAGACGACCAGTGTAGCAGCAGCCTCAGCAGCAGTAGGTCTCAATATACACAAAGGAAAAAGCAAGATTCTCCGATACAACACAGAATGCACCAATTCAATCACAATTGACGGAGAAGATTTGGAAGGTGTAAAAGCCTCTACATATTTGGGCAGCATCATTAATGAACAGGGTGGGTCTGATGCAGATGTGAAAGCGCGGATCGGTAAAGCAGGAGCAGCATATTTACAACTGAGGAACATCTGGAACTCCAAGCAATTGTCAACCAACACCAAGGTCAGGATTTTCAATACAAATGTCAAGTCAGTTCTACTGTATGGGGCGGAAACCTGGAGAACCACGAAAGCCATCATCCAGAAGATACAGGTGTTTATTAACAGTTGTCTACGCAAAATACTTCGGATCCGTTGGCTGGACACTACTAGCAACAACCAACTGTGGGGAAGAACAAACCAGATCCCAACGGAGGAAGAAATCAGGAAGAAGCGCTGGGATTGAATAGGACACACATTGAGGAAAGCACCCAACCGCGTCACAAGACAAGCCCTCACGTGAAATCCTGAAGGTCAAAGGAAAAGAGGAAGACCAAAGAACACATTACCCCGGAAAATGGAGATAGAAATGAGAAAGATGAACAAGAATTGGATGGAATTAGAAAAGAAGTCCCAGGACAGAGTGGGTTGGAGAATGCTGGTCGGCGGCCTATGCTCCATTGGGAGTAACAGGCGAAAGTAATTTAGTAAGTAATATTATAGGAACAATTGAGGTCACACTTAGGTAGTTCTGAAAACAAGGCTGATCCAGATGTTGCTTGGGAAGATATACGAACAGCTGTGAAAATAGCAGTGACATCTATTAGTAATTTAAATCAATTTAAACCAATGGATTTCTACTAAGTCTATTGAACTGTTAGATTCTCGTAAACTCATCCCATCAGGCTCTAAACACGATAAATAACGAAAACACGCCGGATATAGGTTAAACAAAAGTCTAAGGAACGATCGTGAGCAGTGGTGGGCAACGAAAGCAGAAGAGATGGAAAAGGCGGCAACTGTAGGTAACACAAAACAGCTATTCAGACTGATAAAAGAAACGAACTAAAAAATCAAGTGTGAGACTATTTCGGAAAAAGACGACAATCTTATCAGCTCTCAGTTCAAACGTTCAGAACGATAGTTGGAATACTTTAAGGAGCAGTTCAGCTGAACTTCATCTACTCTACAACTATCCACCATTCCCAGACAGCGGGAATAGAGCATTGAAGTAGGTCCCCCGACTCTAGCTGAAGTTCAAAAGGCTATAGCTAATATGAAACGAGGAAGGGCAGCTGATCCAGATGGATTAAATCCAGAGATCTTCAAAGATGGTGGTCCAGTTTTAGCAACTAGGTTAACTAGTATTTTAGCTGAAATCTGAGAACTGAATGTAGTTTCATGTGACTGGTCGCAATCACTGATCGTCTCAATATATTGGAAAGGAACAAAATCACCAGACGGACCAGTTTGACTAATATTCTGTCAAAAATCACTAGCCTCAATAATTATTGGACGTCCAACAAAACTCGAACCGCGAATGCGAGAAAATCAGGTCGGCTTCAAATCTGGTCGTGGTTTAATCTACCAGATATTCACCGTTTGACAGATTTTGGAACACAGACATGCTTATCGCAACCTGACGATAGCAGTTTTTCCTCTACATTCCGTTTTATTTTCAAAGATAGACACCGTCTAAAATGCAACATACTTTCAGAAATCTTAGTGAATGGGTTCAGTATGACGTGAAGTGAATTAATCAGTGGACGTGATATTACCATTCTCTGTACTTTTGAACCACTTATAGGATACCTAGCCGTAAATTAATCACCTTAACTACGCCTAAGTATACCATGTGGTTAGTATCTAAATCATAGTTGATATCGTGTTACCAGGCAGTAATTTTAAGCCGAAGGCTTCACGGTTATGAATACCTGGACATTCGGTAAAAACTATTGTCACAAATATTCTCTTAATCCTAGTATTTTTTTGTTTATTTGGTAATGAATCTGTTTTGTTAATAATGTAGTTCACGTGCTTCGGTTTGGGCACTCGAGTAGTATCACAGCCCTCACACATATCAAATGAGATCTGTGTGGCGCATATGTATTTGGTGCCTCCTTGTACCAATATCTATGTTAAAATAAAATTAAAAAAAACATTCGGTTCACTATATTCACAGGTCGTTAATCCGAAAACAAAAAGAAGTAGATATCCTCGAACAGTTGTCCAGAAGTTGAAGTCTGTCGGGCAAGCTATTGAACCTAATTTACCAGTAAATGGTGTCTCGGGTGCTGATAAACCATCTTCAAACAATGCATACTGTCCTCATTGGTCTCATGATGACCTAATTTCGGGTGTCAGAAATGGAACACTTCTATCAGTAAGTGTTAGCACCTGTTTTTATGTTATATATTTCTTAGGTCAAAGACCTAGAAGTTGATACTAAATCAAGTTGGATTGAAATATCAGTTTTTTCTCATTTTCATTCTTACCTCATGTTTTTGCACGTACTTTGTATGTAACAATATTCTAACGTCGCGTCATACACCATATTTTGCCTTTAGAGTGGCTGTGGTATTAGAGCTTAAATTGTCATTCTTACACTTAGTATAATTCAGTATGTATTCATTTGAATGCTTAAATATCAGGGATCCGTACAACTTGCGATTCAACCTCATCAATACTTAGTCTCAGTCATATCAACTCAAGCATCGATTTGTTAGTTTTACAAACAATATTTCTATGGTAATATCAAATCTGACCTCCTTACGTGGTTATTGATTGTATCGCCTTTTGAAGTTCTAGTGTTTAAGATTTTGTAATTGATAGTTGATTTGAAACACCCTTGTATGGTACTTTTTTGTAAGTAGTTAAAACTGATATCTTTTTTATTTTATGGGACATAGTGTTCTTATTGCTGCAGCTTTTTCCTAATTCCAATGTTATTTTAGTCATTTTATTTTACTAATTTTCAATATTCTTATCCATTTTACAGGGTAACCTTCGTATCAATCCGAAAAACTTCGAAGATGGATACGTAAAGCACCCGGTAAATGAAATTATTGAGTTTATTAAAATATGAAGGCTGGTGATGCTGATGTATATATCTCAACTTTAGCATCCAGAAACCGAGCACTACCAAATGATATCGTTGCTGTCATGCTGGAACCAAAGCGCAACTGGAGGGTATGTTCAAATAATCACAATATTTTCCGTACTTCGATGAATGAGTATGTAAAAATCCAGTAGTGCCTTCGAAAGCAAAGGAGCCTCCTTCGGCACACTGCCTTGACGTTTTGTCTTCTGAGTTTTGAAACTAGACTGCCGAATAGCTTCGGATTTTAATTTCTTGCACTATCCGTACATTCACAACTAGATCTTTCGATAAATGATCTAAAAATATTGGTATAAGATTTTGTTAAAATATACCCTGCATATCACTGTTCGTTAAATAAGTAGTTGCGTTAACGTTTGTTAGTACTAATTGTTCCAGTTTGTTGTCAAACCAAATCAAAGTTTCGTATTGGGTACTTTACAGCGATTCAGACCACTAGTTTTATCGCTCTTTCGAGTTCGTAATGAGACATTTTTTCATGCTTTTTCTCTGTATATACAAACTTTGTGTATCCAGTTATGTCCGCTAGTATATAGAATGAGTAAATGCAATGATAAGCAGTCAAGAATCTTAATTTTATCATCGAAGTTGAAATTGTAACCGGTGAGTAAGCTGGTCGTTTGTAGTACACAGTTAAAAACAATATTATCTCTAAATCATTGTTACAGTCCAGTGTATTTTTTGTCTATGCGCTCCCAACTCAACAGTAAATTAATGGAATTTGGGTTTTAATTGAGACTATAAACCGATCAATGTTAGACCATCATTGAAAACCTTGAATCACTGGTTTAGAGGTTATGCATTCACGTGCGAGTCCGATGGTCCTGAGTTCGAGTTCCGCGTGCGGTATTGTGGATGTGCACCGCTGAGGAGTCTCATACCGGCCAACCAGTGCTTGCAGATTTTCAGTGGTGGTCTAACTTTGATCGGTTCGTGATTTCAATTAAAACTCAACAATCTCCAAAATCCTATATTGGTAATGGAATTTGGGTCTGTTATGTGAGCGCCACGAATTTATATCTGACGTAGGTTTGAATCTACATTTTGCGCTTTGGCTGATTTAATGTCTGGATAATTTTAATTTTGTAGGTTTTGAATTTTAACTTTCAAGCAGTCATTAACTTTTTTGCTTCAAGCTGTGATTAAAATATGTAAGAATTTTCGTATTAAAACCTGTTAAACATGCGCTTGTTCGACTGAGTTATCATTCGTAATTAAGTTATGACCAATCATCGTTTTATCTCTCTGGATTCCTTATCACTCAGCAATTTGTAGTTTCTGTAACTCAGTGAAGGTAAGAAAATCATTTCCAAGTGAATAAAAGTTTTTCATAGACAGAAATAATAACCGCTAGATTAATCTAGAAATTCATCAGCCATTATTACCTCGGTTATTTTTTCTTACATATTTCTTACTGTCGTATTCCCAATGTTTGCTGGTTAAATATAGATATTTGTGCTTTTTTAGGTATTTGATTCTTTTATTGATGAAGCCACCATGAGAGAAATCGGGGATTCAAATCAGAAGAAGAAACTTAGATATGTTACTTTGGAACAGTTTCTTAAGATTCAACCCATGGGGTTAGAGCAAGTATGTGGGTAATCATTTTCTCCTATATACCTGGTTCTCTCCCTTTCTACATAACGATAGACTAGTTAATACATCTGCGAATCCACTCACGTAAATTAAGATAGGATATTTTATTTTCCTTTTAGGATCAACTGCAAGATTCTTCTAATACGAAATGGGTTCTATGCGAACTAGATAGATCAAACGACTAGCACTCTACAATACTTAAGTGTTACCAACCCATACACAAATAAGAGGGAATACTTGTTAAGAAGATTAGTCAAGGCCCCAGAAGAATTAGTTTACATTCAAGTTAAACGCAGGGTATTAGGGAATGATGGTAAATCAGTTGATGAGGTTATGAATCTTCATCGACTGAGATGGTTGGGCCACGTGTTACGTATGCCTGAACACCGACTACCACGACGTGCAATGCTATCCGGTATCGGAGATGGTTGGAAGAAAGTTAGGGGCGGCCAAACCAAAACGTGGCATCAGTGCTTGAAGACACTAACTTCTAGTCTGAGCCATGTCGGTAGATGCAGACTACTTGGTTGGGGTCTGCGTGACTTTCGTAACCAATGGCTGGAGACTCTTGGTGACATGGCTGAGAATAGATCACAATGGCGTCGGTGTATACACTCCATGTCTTCCCTTAAACTAAGAGATTAAAATCACTTCATATCTTTCCTTCTACGAACCAATTCTTTCTTCTTGTACTATATCTCTATATGCAATCTTTCTCTTATATATTACCACCTTTGACCTAACCACTGCTGTGAATCCGGTGTTCATCTTGTTGTGCTGATGCGGTATGGCAACCTGGACCGATGCACATATGTGCCTGGTCCTACGTTGTAGCTGACTGACTGACTGACTAATTTGATTATATGCCTATTATATTCTATGATTATAAATTACACCGTCAAATTGAGTAATCGTTACTTAGATGCAAAATCGCAGTTAATTAGTTTATACAATGTAACTGTAGTAATCATCAAACACCTATCTTCATACTGAATGGATTAATATAAATTCAGTGCACTGAAAGTCAGCAAATGTGATTCACGTAAATTATTATGCTAATTGATCTCTTCCTCATTCGTTGTATTTGCGAATATTACATCCCCAACACACGATTGTGTTTAAAAACATCAAAATCTATCAGTTTTCCTGCTTGTGCTTATTTGGTTACAACATAGTGATGCCATTAAAATAAAGGTACTAAGACCTATTACTGAAAATCCCATTTTCTTTTTATGTGTTCTACTATTTTTTGAATACACTGAATTCTGCAATCCGCTAGTCATTATTTACGAATATGGTATGGTTAACTGATAAAGTCATATGTTCAGTGGGAATATTTTAATGTCAGTAAATGGTTGTTCTTACTGCTGCATCAGCTTACATAATGTACTTTTCGTAGAGTTTATGCAAGTTTAGGGATTGGTTATCGTAACTAATGTTGTACTTTGATAGTTAGTTGTCCGGCTTGGAGAGTATAATAATTAGAATGGACAGCGCCACCATTGAAAATTCGTCCTACATTCTCATTTCCGCAGTAACCTTATCTTATGATTTCATTTTATGAAAATAAAACCACAGACTAGTAATAAGTAAGCGGAAGGTATGAATTATGAAGGTAACAAATTTGTGCTTTCATGTGTTGGTGTATAACTCTTTACTGTTCTCTTATTTTATTCACTAGAAAAGCTATTCTGCATAAGTATGTTTAAAAATTTGGTAATTTACTAGAGTTAATTATCATGTGTTTTATGGGCCTAGCAAACGATTATTCCACACTTGACTGTTCCTTAAAGTATTATTTTGTTTCTAAACCTTTATTCACTTTTTACTTCAAGCTCATAGGAAGTTGTCTTGCAGAAGAGATTGCACAGGATCTAGATTCACCTTCAGATCCTATTGGCTCCTCCTCAATTGAGCAAGATGTGCAAAGTCACAAAGCTTGGTGGGCGATTATACAAAGGACTGGCCATGTTGTTGGAATCCTTCAATCGCTACATTCCCGTGCTTTCATAGGAAATCTTCAAATTCCTAGTAATTTCCAAACTCCGAAAAAAGTATCTCCGAAAGGTGATCAGAATAATAACCAATCAGAGGCTATACGTACAGACCCAGTTCTTTCTAATTGGAAGAATGCTGTGCTCATACCTACGGATACACGCCTACCACGAGTCTTCATACCTCGTGAAGCTTGTCCGGAAGGTGAGTGTAAATTGATGTATTAAAAAGGTTTATCGAATTGGCAAACTTTTAGAAAATCGAAATATACTTATCTCAAGGTTATATCTTTATAAATTATCAAAAAATCGTTTTCTTACTCTTTGATTGCTACTCATTTTGATATAGGATTCCTGAAAAATCCCGAAACCTACAAAAACGTTCGTTTCATTGGTCGCATCACTGAATGGTTTGATTCGAATATGTTCCCGAAGGGGTAAGTATTTTTGACGTGTTAATGTATGTTTAGTGACAATTTGTTAGTTTTCTATCTTTTGTAAAGCAACAAGATTTTCTTTAATCATCGCAGTCTGGATGGCATTCTGATGAATGCTAGTCTCATCGTTGTATTCTGTTGTATTTCGTTGCGATGTTGAAGGATCAAGATCTAAACATTCTCAGATTTCTGTATCTTAAAAGTGGAACTATTAACACAAATTTGCAACCAATAGCAAAACTGAGGAGCTTTCCGATTCCGTGATAATACAAGTGAACCAAATAATCGTCCTCAGAACACCAATCAGTTGAAGTTTTTTAAGTGTGTATGCTTTTGGTAAAATTTCAGTCTTTTTCTAAAAGTCTTTTCTGGATGTCATGACCTACTGTTGGAAATGTTAGTGTATAGTTTCATTAAGTGCCTTTCTTTTTTTTTCACTACAATTTCAATGTCTAGGTTTTATCACCATTTCCTTCATCATAGAAATGCTGTTCCTCAGAGTAATTACTTAACCAAATAATCAACGTTGTGTTATGATTTCCCTGTTAGTTCCAATTATAATTATTCTTTTTTTGTTAAGGTATTCGGACCTCAGGAAAAATGAAATCTATATATCTCTGGGTCGCGGTTAGTGATAGAATTGAGATATTAGATGAATATGATTTGTTACCTTATTTTATTGTTATGTTTGAAGACCTCACGAGATCACCTAAAACCAGCGGACGGAACAAAGGATAATTGACGCAACTACTAGACAGCTAAACTATTCCAATGTGTCACAGCCCCGCTAACTAGAGAGAGAAGTCCAGGTTCAGATGATGTAAAGTGCATTCCACAAGCAGCCAGAAGCACGAACGTCAACAAGCACACAACTCAAGCGTATATATACAGCATAAAAACGTCCTTAGGAAACGTCACAAAACAGCATAATAAAAGAGGCAACGAAATAAGGACTTTTAGGGTCCTTCCAAGTGGGAAATACAATCTGAAGGTAAAAATGAGCGCTTTTGGCGCGAAAACGATGAATTCAAATTTACAAAATACAATTACAAAAATAAGACGTTTACCAAGTGATTTCTGGAGGTCATGCGTCCTCAAAATATCGCTTATTCCTCGAGTAAATTCCAGGTTGTAACTATTTTAGTAGTAGCTCATAAATGAATAATACTTTTCTTTGTTTAAAATGCTTGAATTTTTTAAGTAAATAACTCATCATTTACATTTATTCCGTAACCTCAATTGTTAACATGTTTACGTTACTATGTTGTTGATGATCGTTGAGCTGTTGATACTGGTTTGAATATCATTGTTTATTTGTGCTATATAAGAAATACTTCAGTTGCCTTGACGAATTCATTTCGTGTAAGGAATTTTAAGGTTTTGATTTGTCATTTTCTTTTTTCGTCAGGGAGTTGTTACGAGAATTGTCTTGTGACTCTTCCACTCTGATTCAGGATGAAACGGATAGGATTTTAGTTGGCGCAGGATTTATTTGGGGTGTGGAGGCAGCTTTCCAGTTTCCTGATATTGTCACTGAATCAGTTCGTAAGTCTGTTGATGACGTGAATGCTATTCGTGAGAAGGATTTTATTTTCCGTAAAGATTTTCGAAAATATTGTGTTTTTACGATTGATCCCAGTACCGCTAGAGATCTTGATGACGCTTTGCATATTAGACAGTTGGAACCGAGTGAAATAGAAAAATTAGAATGCAGCGGTTATCGAAACGCATTTTACGAGGTAAATAAGAGTCCTGTTTTATGATTCCATTGACAGGTAAAAATGAATTTTGGGAATGAGTAATTTTCTGAATGTTAGTTAATTCTAATTTAACCCCATGAATTTGTGATGATAATCTTTAATGGAGTGTTTCATAGTGTTGAGTCACGTACCAACCCAGTACTGGATTAATTTTCTGGAGTACCATTCCCAATTATTTGTGGGAAAACACCAAGGCATTTGTTAAACGTAGTTGGCTATATGGAATATAAAGTACACTGATTACAGTAATCGATAGATGGTAAACTGTTACTACCTCTTTGTTCTGCGTCAAAACAGTGTTTCATTTTCCCAGCTTCTCCACAAGGAATCGAGTTATGTGGAACCCTCTGCTCAATCTCTAAACTTTCAGTTAGCACTATTGTTTGTTTCAACTTTATGTAGGTCAAGTTATCTTCACACTAAGACATACCATTGGCTAATACTTAAAGAAACATGACGTGTAGTTTTCATTTAGAAGTGCAATCATTCGTCAGTTTATAGCGTGAAACAATGTTTATGAAAAGTGATCCTTGAGGCATCATTATGGATGTTCTTTGTCTGGTTAATTCTGATTTGTGTTGTGATTTTCGTTTTGCTAGGCGTTTACTTCTCAAACTCTTCAGAATAAATATTTTAGATGTTTAGAGTAGTGTCTGAAAAACATGTTTTTTTAATAATTACTGAGATGTCCGGCTAGTTATCACTTGGTTTATCCACCAATCAAAATACGACTTATATAATCTTAGCACTGTGCCGAACCAATGACGTTCGACCGGTATGAGCAGCCTAGCATTCTTATTGGTCCTATGTCCGCCTAACCTGTCTACTTGAGTCCAGAACACCAATACCAACCCCCACTACGCGAATCGAATCGAATAATTTATTTCAGACATACTGGGTTTATATATCAACCAAACAGACCGCAACGCACAATAAAATAGGAAATAAAATTTCTACACAATAAAGCCAGAAAGTGGCTGTGAACGTGGGAGGCAGTAGTCAATAAACTGAACATAGCTTACGAACAGTAAATTGAACAATAATAAATTATAGGTCAAAATGAAGCTTATAATAAGAGGAATATACATATACATAATCTAATTATTGAATAATTATACCATAAGAATATATAGATAATATTAGTCAATTAATATGTCTCAGAAGTTACTCGTGATTTAATCTTCGCTCGGATCTAACAGCTATTGTTCTCATACGTGATTAACCCTTGTATATATTACTACTCTAAGCCATGACTTGTTGACATTGCTTATCTTCCAGATTATATGTTTACTTAATTTGTGTGTCTCTCAGTAATCAACAATTAGTATTTCTGTAGGTTCTGTTTTTACTGGGTAGTATTTAAGAAATGAGTTCATTTGGACTACCGTACGTATTATAAATTGATGAAGTGCATAGGAAATGTCACGAGGAAATTTTGTGTCAGGGTTTTGTGACACAGAATAATACATTACTTGTTCATCTATATTATTTTCTCCCCAGGTTGGTGTACATATAGCTGATGTTTCATATTTTGTGAAACCAGACAGTCCAGTTGATAAGGAAGCGGCGTCCAGAGCAACTTCTATATATCTAGTGCAACTGTGCGTGCCTATGCTCCCACGTCTACTTTGTGAAGAACAATGCAGTCTTAATCCAGGAGAAGATAAGTTAGCGTTTTCTGTGGTATTCACTGTAACTGAGGATGCCAAGGTGAGTAAAACAAACCTTTTTACTGTAACGAAATTGTAATATGTAAATTCATGCTATACCATATCACTGGTGCATCACTTAAATATAGATGTAGTTATACTAATATATTTTATATCACCCATTCTAATGTGAGATTTTGTTTTCACTTATTACCGCATATTATCTACTAAAATGTGTCACTTTTTGCTATTGCTTTCTAGAGTTTGTGTTTTTTTTGGTTGTTGATATTAAGAACTGGATTCGATCAGTCTTTGTTTCTATTCACACTCCTTGAGAGGATAACTGTATATTGTCTGTAGTTACATGTAATTCATTATATTTTGGGGTAATACGTTGTATTGAGATCTAGAGTGCGCGATTCTTCATATTTGAAACGTGTGTTAGCTGGATGCACCAGGATCCCAGAATTGTTCACACTAAAAATCATAGTGGGGCGGGTTTGTTTACTCTCTGTTTCTAGATCTTGAATTTTTTTATTTTTTTCTATATAGCCTTCCATTCCTTCTTCTCGAACCCAATTCTTAATGTTTAGTCCTCATGGCTATTACCAATACATTATTTCTAATCCTTTGATATTAATCTTGTTGAGTTTTCTTTCTGTTTTTGTTAATCTTATGAAAACTTGAGCTAACTCATTTATATCAAGCTTTACGTTGATTATAACTGGATTAGATTCGAACCCAAAACTTATTGCTTTAAGTATCACCTCTTTTTCATTAAACTACCAACTTATTAAACGAGTATGATATTATTATTCGTAAGGGTCTGTGTTTTTCCGTTATCGACATTCAGGATTGCTTTCAATTAGTCTATGTGAAACATGGGTATCTTTAAATTAACCCCTCAGAATTTAAATTCTACAGCTAGCTACTATCTAAAAGTTGTAAATAAAGGCAATACTTGTAAATTATGACGATGACAATAGTTAATGATTAATTTCTGATTAATATTCGTTGTTTACAATTTGTCTTCATGACAATATGTTAATCGGGATTTGATTATTGCAAAGATTCACATGTACTATGTTTGATTTTTTTTCTATTGGTACGTCAACACTACCAAAAGTGTCTACTTCAGCTCATATCTTTCACATAGTTCAAAAACGGATATGGAACAGATATTAAGGAGCTCATTTGTCTACTATTCTTGTTATTACTTAAACAAAGAATAAATTGATACACAGACCAATTTTAAGTAGAACATACTGAGATGAGGCGTTGGTCCATCAGTCAGTCACAACGTAGAACTTGCACGTATGAATAGTAGAGGTAGTGATAGTGTCGGTGGTAATAGGAAAGATTAGACATCGAAGATACGACTCGAAAAGAACTAGTGAAATAAAAACAAAAAAGTTATGAAGAATTTAGAATCTTAGAATTTCAGTGAAGGCAAAGGAAGGCTGCACCTGCTTCATTGCTAATGATTTTGAGCCATATTATTCAAAGTCCCTAACCATTGGATACGAAAATAACATGTACCCCAACCAGGGAATCTTCACATAGCTAAGTTCAACTAATAGTAATTTCATGGACTAATTCGATATTTTGATTTGACTAACTCTTGTTATTTTCTAGCCTATTTCTGCACCAGGACACCTGGCCCATCGACGTAGGAGGTGGTTGGGCAGACGTAACACATGTCTCAACCACCTTAGCTGATGAAGATTTACTACCTCATCAGTCGATTCCCCTTTTTTTACCTGGTGCTCTATTTATAACTCGGGTATTGCTTGCTCTGTGGTCTCAAAATACATGAGCGATACTTCGTAAACACCTATGATCGAATATCAATAACCTACAAGTATCCTCTACTCTTAATGGTCATGTTTCACATCCATAAAGCGAACCGCTGCACAGTAAGCTTTCCCTTTGGTTAGAGGACGGATATCTTGCATACGTCACGAGTGACGCAGGCTGACAAAAGCCAATAGAGCCTTCTGAATCCGTGTCGAGATTACGTCAGATACCAGACCATCAGGATTAATGAAGCTCCAAAGGCAGGTGAAGTGGTCTGTGGATTCAACTACTTCACTCCCTGTCATTAATTCAGGCGATGGCGCAAGCCAATTCTGAAGTAACATTTTACATTTGGAGGAAGAGAACCACATCCCAAACATTTTTGCATGGTTGTTTAAGGTGGTCAGAAGACTACGTTTTGTTAGCGTCTTCACTAAACAGAACTATATCTTTCGCGTATTTTAAGTCAACAAGTGTGTCTCCTAGTAGAGGATGAATCCATAAAAAGTCAGATGCGTTGTTTCATGTTACCTAAAGTTTCAACAGTCAAATACAGCAGATCAAACCGGATATAAACGTGATATTTTTTAAATCATGAGTGAAAATTGTTTATCCGATTTACAAACTGTCCGAACGAAGTCATCCAACTTAAAAACGTGATTCATTAAAAGTGGCATGTTAATGAATAGATAGTGAAATATAAGGGATAAACTCATTTGGATTATTGTTATATATATTTTTTGACATGAATTTCATGCATCACATTTTGACAATGATGGTTTTGTTTATACAAAAATATTAACTACCTTATGATTCTGTTATAACGTGAAAATATTTATTTGCTGCGGATTAAGGGTAGCGAATTATTGATCGGACCAAAGACGCGCAAACACGTAGAACGACCTAGGGTTCTGATTGGTCCCGCTTCCCTGTATAGCCCAGCCAATTGAGTCCAGAACGCAAGTCACAGCCTCGGATATATGAATCATTATATTTCAAACATACTTTGTTTATATACCAGTCAAGCAGTCCACAACGTACCATAAAATAGAAAATAACATTGTACAATAATGGCCAACAGGAAAATAACACGTTAAATAAATATTGACCAATAAGATGATACCATTTCATGTCCAAGGATAGCATTAGGCTTAACAGGATAATTTTTGGGATATTTTCCTAAATATCCCAACAGATTCTCAGTTTCTTGCTATAATAATTCATATTAAACCTGAAGGTAAGTTATTTATTTTGTTTCTTGACCTTGTAAATTTCTGTTTTGTGTGCCAGGTGAAATTTATTTATCAAAAATTTCTTTTATCGTAATATAGATTTTGACAACATGGTTTGGTCGTACATTTATTCGTTCTTGTTGTAAACTCAGTTATGAAGATGCTCAGGTCAGTCTGTTAAATGGTATATTTGATTAGGTTGTATTATTATTATTATTATTATTATTATTATTATTATTGTATTGTTATTATATTATTGTATTATTATATTCAACCATTTTACATTTTAACCATTGAGCTACCAATTCGAACATTGCTTCATCTGTCTATTCTGATGTGGAAAACCAGATAGTAATAATAACCATGATGACGTAGCTCAGTTTAGTAAGTGAACATATGCTTAATTATTGAATTACATCGATAATCTTGGATTCGAATTTTAGTGTTTGTTGCATTCGGTAGTTTTTATATCTTATGAACTTTTGAAGTGCCAGATTTAAGTTTTCTAGACCTAGTTAACTGTAGTCCTCTATTCTAAGAAGATGAAATTCCGAAAAATCCACTGCATACGTTATGTTTAAATGTGTTTCGATCGTTTCCTATCATATAAAATTTGTCATCTCAATATTAATGTCATTCCACACCATTTCAGGAATTTATTGATCACCCTGATAGGGACTGGTCGTCCAATGAATTTGTCAAGGTAGATCAACCATATACCGTAATGGATATTTGTAAAAATGTCTTGAAGTTAAACGATGTAAGTGTTTCTATTATATTATATTTCTTTAAACATTCTTCTTTGCTGTACTTCCTTATTCGTCATGATATCAGTTAGATTGATTATATTTAGAAAACATTGAATGGGTCATCACCATTCTTTGTTTATACCATTTGTTTTTTTGTTGTTGATGCAAATCAGTCTGTTAAACATGTGTTGTACACTAAGAGCATGTCACCTCGTCAAATTTTTACAATTTTATGATTGAGCAGTGTCATTTTCTAATGGAAACTATTGACTGGCTCTTATATGCTGGTCAATTTCATAACAATTATAATTTATTTCTCATGCTTTAGCTGGCTACTAAAATGCGTAAAAGTCGTTTTCACTCTGGAGCGCTTCGCTTAGATCAGGTAAAGTCTACCTTTTCTCTTAATAACGAAAATGGACTACCATTGGGTATAGCCCCTTACATTTCGAAGCAGAGTAATTGGCTTATTGAAGAATGGATGTTAGCAGCAAACAAATCAATTGCTGAACGCTTAGCTAAATACTTACCCGACTCAGCTTTTTTGAGACGACATCCACCACCATCTGTAAAACAACTGACCGAAGTTTCGTCTAGTCTAAATGTTGCTGGGATAAATATTAATATTGATTCTGCCGGTTCAATACAGGTATGTATTGGTTAAGCATTTTATATTATTTCAAAATTAAACTACTATACTCTATACGTTTGTTGCTAATTTCTCCCTAGTTTACCATTTTAAGGGACTAGGTCCTTAGTATCAGTAAATGATCACTGAAGCTTTTCACACTAGTAGAATTAATTCATCTACTGGCAAACTCAAATGAATGTTGAAAATCTAAGTAATGTGACAATCGTGTCCGAACTTGGGGACAGTAGTCCTTCAGTTATACAATATAAGAGTGTGCAGCAAGAAATCAGGTTTAACGTTTAGTTTAATTATTGAATGTTGATTACCTAGATATTAGCTTATAGATTTTACGCCAAAACGACCTTTCATTACTGCTGATAAAAAACGTATATTTGCAATATATTTGTTTGTGTTATTCAGCATTTAAAGTGAAAGTATAGTTGATTTCCCTCATGAGTATCGTTAAATTTTCAGTGCAAAACACAAAGGTGTTCAACTTAGTTGAAAAATACTGAATAAAATTTCATTTAATACCATAGAAATTGTCCTGAATGTATCACGTTGAAAGAGCTGTCACTTGTTTTCAAATAAAAATCTACGTATAATTTTGTCAAGAAACCACACTCTTAGGATTTGAGAAATCTTTGGAAAATACATTTAGTCGCGATTCAATTCTGGTTTGTTTAATTAAACTGTAGAGCTTTCAATTTTTGAAAAGCACTGCTAGTTTCATTTACTGCTAATAGTTTGCAACTCTAATTTCAACATAATAAATGATACCTCTTTCCTCTACCTATTCTCGTCGACGATCTATATTCCTCAACGAGGGGTACCAAGCGTAAGTAATTTCAGTAACTGTCCTCTACTTCTCTGTTTTCTGGCAAGAGGGAGGAAACTTTAATTTAGGAACCTTATTCATATGCACGCAATAAGATTAGTTCAAACTCAAGTATAACCCATTATATACAGTTAGTGCTTATAAGGTAAAGAAATGATCTAACTGAACAATTGTCGTTAATCATTAATACGATTGAATATTATGCTGAACAACAGTTATGTGAGCAACAAATTACATTAAACTAATTATTACAAATTAATGTTATAATGGGCGAAAATTACTCTAAATTGTTAAGAATAGCAATTAAATGGAAATCATATTTAAACATCAGTACGTAGTGTTTCACTTAATTTCTTCCTACTTAATTGTATTTAGGATTTAACATCCCCAACAGTACCATATCACTTACAAAATTCGCTTATTGTTAGTATATAATGTCGTCTTAATATCAGTACTAGATACTAAAAGTTTTAAAGCTTAAAATTACCCAAAATTAGTGTAACTCCATTACCTATTCAGATAAGTAAATAAAAAAATTCAGGTACATTTTTATGCAAATCTTTACTCCATATTTGTGTGTTTATTTATTCAGGATTCAATTTGCCGTGAAGCAGGTTGTAATGTCGAAGTTGGATATCACTACTCAGATGCCCTTGTCAAATTGTGTGATGATTTTATGTCCAATGTTTTGATTCATGATGGCGATTTAATAGAAGAAATGCAAAAAGTGGACCTCAACTCAGTTGTTCAAAAGGAGAAGTTACTACTCAAAACTCTTGAACATGAAGCACGACTTCTTGTTACAGTTGCTTTATTGACTAAAACAATGAATTTGGCTGTCTACTTCTGTTTAGGTCTACTACCATCCGAGTTATCGCCCTCACATTATGCTTTAAATATGCAATTGTACACACATTTCACTTCTCCTATTCGTCGTTACGCAGATGTTATTGTTCACCGGCAATTGTCAGCTACTTTGGCGAAAGAAGAAAGTGATCGTTAGTAATTTTGTTTTACTGTATATCACCTCTAGTTATAACTATCTAGTTTAAATTGTTTCAATATTCCATTAGATGTTTCTTTGCATTTCATATCATTCGATTTCTACTTTAAACTTCTGAATATCTGAGTACGTTACGCAAAATTTAAGTAAAGAGCTGAGTAGTCAATTTGTCTGTTGAAGATTTATTTAGATTTATGGAAGTGTTGATATAGTTTTCCCTCACATATATGGTTTATTTACTTAGCCAAGTTAATTCACTTTCTTCACTCCTGATCTACCATAAAGAGTTAAATTTCTAGAATGTATTCAACGTTCTTCGTTCATGACATCTAATCTTGTCTTCAGTTGTAATTTTTCCTGCATTTTTATAAAGTAAATTTTAGGATTGATTTAGACTAATTCGATATTGAACGCGAAGAAAATATGCCTATAGAAGTCCTAATTAGATTTACATAAACTTTGCTGTCAATATCGTAAATGATTTCTACTTTGTATGCAATCGGTTGTTAGAGCTTCTGGGAAGTATTCCTCGAAAATGTCCATAGAGTCCAGAAAACGCTGGATCTGTTGTCCATAAGTTAACCTTGGATTAAAGCGGTTTTTGCTCACTTCGCGCCTTTTCTCTTGTGTTCAAGTTGCTGAGTAGATTCAGCCTGTGATTATTAGAACTATTATTTAAAATAACTGACTGAAAAATTGTGAAGATTCCAAGTAATCCACAATTTGGTGTAGTTTTTTTTCTACAAGTGTATCGATCTAAATTTATGTGGTGTTAACTGTAATATTTTTATGTATTTGCTTATTACTACTCTTGCCAGCTATAACATAATATGATAGGGTATAATGTCTTTTCTTTATTTCACCCACTTCTCAACGATAGCTGAAAAAGCAGATTGGTATTTAAGTACAGCCTTTCCAAAAGAAATGACGCCAGTCGAATTGCAACAACAAGCTGAGGTTTGCAATTCTAAAAAATTGTCTGCCCGACTTGCTGGGGAAGAAAGTGCTGAATTATTCTTTGTTCTGTTTGTCAAGGTAATTGGTTTTTCTAAGAATATATATATATATATATATATATATATATATATCTGTTTTAAAAATATAGCACATAGTTATGCATAGATAGTTTTCTTTTCCCAAAAGGAATCTCATTGATTATCAAGAATTATTTCAATTGATATAAATGGATTAAGTTGTGATGCGTAATATTTCTTATATCTTCCTAAAAATTAGGAAACAGGTCCATTTAACGAAGTATGCGCTGTAACATCTGTGCTCGATCGTTCATTTGACGTCCTTATCCTTTCTTGTGGTCTCACTAAAAGAGTTTATTTACAGGTTAGTTTGCTAGTCTCATTTTTCGACCGCTCTGTTGCTATTGTTTTTGTCTGTTATATTTTTTCGTTTGATCCTTGATTTGTAGGATAAATTTTTCTGATGGGTGTTTTTTTGGCTCAACTGGATGCTTTCTGTAGTGCTATGTTCTGACTTGGATTGTTTAATACTTGAGCTCACATTGTCATCGTTATCCTAAAAAATGACTACCAACGCCTAAATCAAGTGAAGACGAAACGTATGAAAACAACTTATCACAAACCATATCATCAGCACATATTAATTAAGGACTTTTGGAATAAGTTGTTTAAAGTTCATTTCTTTTAAGGTAGGTCCTGGTGACATCCAGAACGACAATAAAATATCTCCAATTAGATTATACTAAACCGCTTGAAGTGAATTGTCATGCCATTATTCTTTCAGATCTTAGGTCATCAGTTTTTGTAAATAGATGTTTCGTTTTCGTTCTTGTAACCTAGTCCGTACTACTGAAAAGTATCACATTACTTCGAAAAGTCTGTCAAGTGCTCCCTGGTTTACAATAATACTAAAACTACCATTGATTTGTGATGAATACTACCTGAATGTAGTATGTATAAGTGGTATGAAAATTCACAGATTCGAAGGCTTAACTACATCACACAAATTCAGTTGAAAATGTTAAGTGTTGTACTTTAAAAATGATAGAAGTAATGAAACCATTGTAGGTCATTGTTAAAAAATCAATACTATTTGTCCCTTGTTTATCAGTGCAATTCTATCTTAGTTTAGTACTTTATCTGTTTTGTTAATTTCTTTTCTCTTCTTACCGGAACTGGGGCACCATAGTACTTGATTTTTGATGAGTAATGTGTTTGCTCCATACCTAATTTCTGTTCTAACTCACATTTGTTAGTGAGTGTTACTGTTGTCTGATTGTCATTTCAATACACTTTTATTTCTTTAATATTAGAATCTAAATTTGAAAAGTTATGAATTTGTTCCTCCCAAAACCGCTATGGGAAAAGTCGTGGAGAGTGGAAAACTCTGTCTTCTGTGGAATAGTGATGTATTAGAAAATTTTAATATAAAGGGTTCGGATTCTGCAGATTGTATTCAAAATATTACTGTTGGTTCGAAAACTACATTATCAAGTTGTGGTTGCTTTTATATGGAAATTAAAGTTTTTGATGTTGTCCGGTGTCGCGTTTCAGTTGATTCTTGCAGTTCAATAGACGATGCCAGTCAGTGTGGTCGTCAAAATACCTTATTGCCAAAATTACTTGTATGTCCAATTATTGTTTAATAATTTGTATTTAAATGCACATAAAAATGCCTTGTGGACGGATATTCATCTGTTCTTAAAATATAAAATAAGTGTGATTTAGTAAGGGAAGGATGCTGTTGTTAATGGTGTAGTATAGTGTTACTCTTTTGTAACTCATACCCTTTCTTCGTCTTCATTTGTATCTCTTATAAGAAATTAGTAAACATCAGTAAAATAACACGGCATGTGAGTTTTCTGTATTTTACAACATCCGATCAATGCTACGTTTCACGCGGCCTGTATTTTTGTAATGGTCCAGTAATTTGAAAATGTGATTCACTTATGACATTTTAACCTATATGAAATCCTTTGTATGTAACTTAGTTGATTCAATGTAGCTCAGTTACTATGATGCGTTTACTCAGTTGTTGAATCGTTCGACTCAGCCACTAAGTCATAGTTTCGAATCCCTGTTCATCTACTTCGGTTCGAAAGCTTTATTGTATCATTGACCGTTTGTTTGTATAGCAAGTTCTATTTTTGATATCCACTTGTACCAGATTTTATGCATAGTTAACAATATAATTAAAATACCTCAGTAACCATTCACAAATTTACATACTATATGTTATGGCTTGTAATACTGCATGGATTCAAAAAGCTCGATTGGCTTTCGCCAACTTACTTCACCTATGGCAAAAGCGAGATATTCGTCTATCGTTTAAGGGACGAGTATACTTTGCAGCCGTTCGTTCTGTTTTAATTCATAACTGAGAAAAATTAATAGTAGAGGATACTCGTAAGGTACTAGTATTCGATCACGGATGTCTTAGAAATATTGCTCATATTTACTGGGATCACTGGGTAAATAATAGTAAGGTTAGACACACGGTATTGTGGTAAATCAGTCGATGAGGTTGTGAATCTTTATGGACTGAGATGGTTGGGTCACATATTACGTATACCCAGCTCCCGACTACCACGTCGCGCAGTGCTGACTTGTGTTGTAGACGGCTGGAAGAAATTTAGGGACGACCAAGCTAAAACGTGATATCAGTCCATAAAGTCACTAACTTCTGCTCTGATTCATGTTGGTAGATGTAGACTACTTGGTTGGGGTCCGCATGACTATCGTAACCAATAGTTTGAGACTCGGTTACATGGCTCAGAATTGATCACAAAGCATAGGTGAATACCCTCTGTCTTCCCTTAAACCGTGAGATTAAGACTACTTTCTACAAACCAATTCATCTCCCTTCTATCATATTTACTTACGTACGCCTGTTACCCCTCGTGCAGGACCATAGGCTGCCTAGGAGTACGCTCCACCCAGTCATGTCCTGGGCAATCCTTTCCAGTTGTTTCCATTTATTATTCATCCTTTTTATGTCTGCTTCCATTTCCCGACGCAATATGTTCTTCGATCTTCTTTTCTGTTTTCCTTCAGGATTCTGAGTTAGGGCTTGTCTCATAATGCAGTTCGATTATTTCCATAATATATGTCGTATACACTTTCAACGTCTTAGTTTCCTCTTCAACTGGAAGATGGTTTGTTCTCTCCCATAGTAGGCTGTTGCTGACAGCATCCTGCCAACGGACATTGATTATTTTACGCAGACAACTGTTTCTAAATACTTGTACCCTCGAAGTTCCAGTTCCATATAGTAGAACTGTCTTGATGTTCGTATTGGAGATTCTGACTTTGATGTTGAATGACAGTTGATTTGAGTTCCATATTTTTTTCAACTGTAGAAACGCGGCCCTTTCCCAATCCTCGCCCTTACGTCTGCATCAGATCCCCTTTGTTCATCGATGATGCTTCCCAAATAAGTGAAACTTTCCACCTCTTCCAGAGTTTCTCTGTAAAGTGTGATCGGGCTGGTATTCTCCGTATTGTGTTTGAGGGTGTTGCTTTTCCTCTTGTGTATGTTGGGGCATACTGATGCAGAAACTGCTGCCACACTGTTTGTCGTAACCTGCATTTATTGGTGTGTATGGGATAGAAGAACTATGTCATCTGTGCAGTCTAGTTGCATGCAACATGTCGATTGTATTCCGTGTTTCCCCTTAGATGTGGAGGTCTTCATAATTCAGTCAACCACCAGAAGAAAGAGAAAGGTGGAGATTAAGCAGCCTTGTCTGATTGCAGTCCTTACTTGGAATGTGGCTGTCAGCTCTCCTCCATACACGACTATGCGCTGTAGTCTGTCGTATGAGTTCTGGATAATATTGACAATCGTCTCAGGTACACCATAGTGTCGAAGAAGTTCCCATAAGGTCGTCCTATACACACTGAAACGCCTTCTCATAGTCAATGAAGTTGATGTATTGTGACGAGTTCCACTCAACTGATTGTTCAGCGATGGTGCGTAGTGTGGCGATTTGGTCTGTGGATGACCGATCCTTACGGAATCCAGCTTGTTGATCCCGAAGTTGGACGTCTACTAAGCCTTTCATCCGGTTCGGCAACACTTTTGAAAACGTTTCTTTGTATCGACAGTAGGGTGATTTCTCTATAGTATCACATAATCAGAGAATGCGTGTGAATCTCAGCTTTATTCCATGACAAACAGAGACAAGGATAACGTTTTCAGGACGTTTACAATGAATCTTTGTGAACGATAAAAATATCTTCCTATTTCCATCAAACAAAATTGAAACTTAAACAAAAAAAGTCTGATTTTAGAAAAGAACATAATTAAGACTAAGATTATGCCAAAATTAGATTAAATTATTGAGAATGAAATTTAAATAATAGTAACTAATTTTCGCCGATGCATCATAAGATCCTTATTTCCTCGATCGTTGGTGGAGTGACATCTATTGAAATGTCTGTAGGTGCTGCTTCGTTGTCTGCTGGGTTCAGTGGAGCTGGTCTATACAAGAGTTCCTCGAAGCATTCTATCCATCTATTCCTCTGTTATTGAATCTCCGTGATTGTCTTGCCTTCTTTGTCCTTGACTGGTTTTCCTGGTTTAGTATATTTCTCTTATAGTTTCTTCGTTGTGTCATATAGTTGTCTCATATTTCCTTCTCTTGCAGAGTTTTCCACTGCTTGTCAATTGTAATGTGCCTCTTCACTTGTTTATTTGCTTCTGTGCATTCAGTTTGTGCTTTGACTTTCTCTGTTCATGTTCGGCTGTTGTTAATTGCTGTCTTCTTGTTCTTGATTTCTTGAATCTTGTCCAGGGTTTCCATAGAGATCCATTCCCTATAATGATGCTTATTGCGACCCAGAACCTCCTGGCATGTTAAAGTTAATGCTTCTTTGACTCCTTTCCAGTTGTCCTCCATAACGGTTTCGTCTTCTTTAATTAGATCCTGTAAGGCTTGGGACCTTTTGTTGTGAGTTATCTTGAATTGGTTGATTTTGTTAGTACCTCGAAGGTAGGCTGTATTGAAACTTTGTAACGCTGTCTACCCAGCTGTCCAGTGTTTCTTTAGCTTCAGTTTCATCTTTGCCACAACCAGCTGGTGATCTGAATATATATAAGTTCCTCTCCTGGTTCTCATGTCTTCCATTGTCCTTCTGAATTTTTTATTGATGCAAATATCATCGATCTGGTTCTCTGTGGTGTGATCCGGTGAGATCCATGTAACTTTGTGCGGGGATATTGTACCGCCTATAACCAATATGTTGAATGCACATAAGTTTGCAAATCTCTCCATTTTTGTTTCTCCAAGTCCATGTCGTCCCATGTTATCTTCATATCCGGTGTTATCCATTCCGACTTTGGCACTTAGATCTCCCATCACGATGATGAGATCCTTTCTTAAGCAATTCTCTGTGATTGATTGCAGCCTTTCATTGGTGGGTTCATACCGTTGGATAACTTTCATCGTGACTCCCTCTTTTGTTTTGAAGGATGCTTTGATTATTCTGGATCCATGAGATTCCCATCTTTTAAGTGAATTTTGTGCTCCTTTAGATAGCATCAGAGCAACTGCCTGAGTTTGTGGAGCATTTTCCTCTTCGTGATCTGAGTACAGCAGCATTTCTTCCGTACCTACCCTTTGTTGTTCAGCTTGGATCCAATGGGTTTCGCTGATTCTGAGTACTGCCAAGTTGTATCTCCTCATTTCCGTTGCTATTTGGTTGGCCCTCACGGTCTCCTACATTGTTCGGCCATTCTGTGTACCTATAGTAATAGTTACTCTGGTTGTTAGGTGGCATCAACCTCGTGAATTCCGAAGAGTCTTGACTTTCATCCTGAGGCGTCATAATTCTTCCTCAAACTCCCCGGTCAGAGTTTAAATGGTCTGGTTTGCTTAACCTGGTTAGCTTTGTCTTAGCAAGATTTTTCCCTACGGGATACGGTTGCCCATGTCCATGTCCAACTATTCTCCTTTACCAGGTTTTGGGACCGTCAGTAACTCTAGAAGTGCTACAAGCGGAGTTCCCTGCATCATATCCTTATATGAAATTTTTTTACTACCATCGATGTGACTCTATGAATTTAGTGTTCATCTAGTTGTGCTAATGATGTAAGGCAGCTTGGATCGATGCATATATGTTCTTGGTTCTACATTGCAGATTACTGACTGACTGTAATTCTGTCCTGTTTACCAAACTCAAATGAGTTAAACATGCTCTAACTTAGCCGTTTGATTGTTTAAATACCGGTACTTTAAACACCTAATTGCCGCTACGTGCATAGTGTTGCTAGTAGTTAGGAAGTAATTCGTATGCTATTGTCAATGTGTACAGGCGAACTCTTACAAAACCCATAGACCATTCCAAAAATAAATTTCGCAGTTAATCGTATTTAAAGAAATTAAAGATTATTTCGATCTTGTACACTAATGATCATATTCGACTACTTGCTTAGCATGCATAAACATTTAAAAGTTGTTAAAGTTGTATTCGAAGGCTTAGTTTCTGTGTGGATTTAAAGTCAGAATATTCATTATAAAACTTTTAAATAAACAGTTCTGAATTTTGTTATTTTTTAAACTTTCTTTCTACCCTATTAACAGGTTACACTACTACGGTCAACATGTAAAGAATGTCACGTTGTTTAATTAACTAAATAACTTTCATTAATGAAGAATTGGACAAATTGTACAATGTTGTAATATATGTATAACTAAATGCTACCTTTCTACATTTGTGAAAATAATGTTTGTTTTTGTTTATAGACATCCTTTTGTTTACTACTAAGCTGTGATGTTACGGTTATACTATTAGTATATTATTATTGTTAAATATATTTTGTGGTTTATAAGTTAGGTCCCTCATCGACTTTGTAAATTTGAATTCTTGAATGTTCTTCTATTAAGTACAAGTAAATAAGTATAAATATGACAGGTTAGCTGGTTGATAAAATACTGTAGTGAATAATCGCTAGGTGATTTCAAACTGAGTGCAGTGGGTTTGTAAAAATGGCCATACATGTAGCAGTGGAACTATCAAAGCTATTATCCCATGCTTCATATGTCTCTCTGCAGCTGATTATTTTAAGGACTTTCAACCAGTAGTGCGCACTATTATAAATACTTCAGCTAAACAGCCAAAGTGGCGTTACTAGAACTTGAGAAATACGTGTGATTCATAGTTTATTACTGACGTTTGTACTGGCTTGAGCAGTTTGGTAGTAAACTGTTATCAGTTTATATAAGGTGTTTAGGTAGATGCTTTCTGAATTTAAAGTTTGTGTCTAGCTGTAAAACCAAAATATGCTTAAAATCAATACTTATATGGCTAAATCTTGTCTCCACATGAGTCATTGCGTATTCATTTCAGGTTCGATGTTGACTATCACTGATATTTAAGTGTAAACTGTTTATGTTTTCACAACCGGGTTACTTTTTGATGAACCAACTATAATTTGTTATTATAAATCTCTGATAATTTTATATATCATGATTTCCTTTACCTATGCCTCGTTTGAATAAATCAATAGGGTATTCTGTGCTTAATACTGAGGCTTCCCCTTTTTAAATCTTATTGAATAATATTAGCTGTCATCAGAGGTTGTGTAGGGGTTGGTATTATGTCAAGCCCACGTAAGTTATTCTAACCTCTGGACAGACAATTCTGCTCATTCTTCTCAAGTCACATTCTTACCTTGTTACTTATTCGCTTATTAACTTTGTTTTTATTTGAGTGTATGTGTGTTGATTACTTACCCTACTCATTATGTGTCTAAACTATTTTTGTTTGACTATAAATATCGAGTCACGCTTTATTAGAACGAGTTGACTCACTCGCCTTATCCACTGCGTGTCCTCACGTTGCGTTTCTCTTTCTCCGCTTCGTTTCTCTGATCGTCTGTCTCGATCAACGATTGTATAAAATATACATATTCGAAATCTATTCTTGTATTTGACTTGTTTAGTCCTATTATTCACCAACGTGATTTAAGTCGATAAAATTATACACGAGGGTATTCCGGATTTATATTTCGATAGTAATCATTCATCCAATTTAATTGGAATCCGGTAAAGGGTTACTAAATTTGTTGATGTAATGATAGTGCAAATGATTCGTTAGAATTGTCATCAAAACTAAAAACGCCATATGCCGTGGTACGGTCGAAATTGGTAAGAACCAACTCTCCCTCTCAAAACGCTCTCACATGACCACGCGTGTACAACCACTGCCAGGGAAGTCCTACTCATTGTCTTCTCGCGGCAGGGATATTGTTTACGAAGTCGAGAAGACGAAAATCTAATTTTCGGGGCTTTAACTGGGTTGGTGGATGTGGAGGACCCATCTAGCGGAGTTGGGAAAAATCCTGATTCCAAATCAATAGTTCATATATGCTCCAGAATCCTGTGGGCATAAATGTCATACGAACCTATTGTTGGTCACCGGCTACTATGGGACTGCATCTCCTAACGTTGCTCCACTGCCTTAGACCTTTAGGTCAATGGCTAGAGGAGTGATCTCCTAAGAAAACCATTTGCTCCAGTTTGGGAGCCCGGACAACATCCCAGTTCTCACAGAAATCAAGTGATTTCTGAGGCTCATATCTATTTGGTGCATCCTTGTACCGATGTTTATGAGTTTAAATAAATGTTAAAATGTCTTATATACGCGCGTAAAAGCGAAACTCGACGTAGCTAATGCTGTAATTTGTACTTTAGAAATATCTTGTATTATGTAGCACTGCATAAGTTTTTTAACACTACATTGGTGATCACTTTTGTTCATTATGGGTGTTCTGAAAATTCTGATTGTTGAATAAAATGTTGCTTATGACTTGTAATAATTTTTTATTCACATTGGCTATTCAGTTATAATAGTCATCTGCTTTTTCTGAATATATTAAACATGGTTGTTTTTTGACGATGTTAATTTTGTCCGACGTTTGGACTGAGCAAAAACAACAAGTTTTGTCATTCAAATTATAAATTTATATTCCAATTCTTTCGCTTTCATTTTCGATGTACTTTATACTCCTCAGAATGACTTGATAGTATCAGTGTTAATGCTCACTTAATGAAATATATACTTTTTTCAAGATTCAATTACTTTTTATGTAACATATTATTTGACATGTTGATATCTTTTTTATTTATGATTGTATTGAATGGGTTGATATAATACATTTTTCGTATTTTCGAATGTTATAAAATATTTTTTTATCAAGTAACTGTTCTTATCTTATGATACTTTAAAATAAGGTAGTACAAGTTGTGTGCTTCTTGAACACCATTGTAATTTTTTAGTTTGCAGCTTTGATATATGTCGTTGACTAGCTTAGCTCCAAAGGGTATGAGTTTCTTCAGCCATACTCTTGTTATCTCTTAGCTACACTAACTGTTGTAGCGGTAATTGCCCATCATATTTATGTAAGGTTATTGCATTATTATTCACATCTATCGAAATAATTGGATTTTGATATATCAGATATTAACCTATTCAGTCTGTAGAACTGCTTAAATTAAATTTATGTCAGGAAACTGCTTTGCAGTTTGTGGTCGTAAAACTTTGAATGTAAAATTACTGACGTGATACTAATGCGTAAGAATGTTTGTACTCTTAAGTTGTGCTTAGGTAATGATATACTCTGAACTCATGCTTTTGGTAACATAACTTCAGCAAAAGTCGGCTTTAAATTGATGCCATAGACACCTAAACGTTTGGAAATAATTTAATTGATATAGAATAAAGTTTATGAGATAACTCAGAAATACTTGTTTTGAAAACACATCGTCTTTGCGTTGAAAGAAATAGTGAGTTACGTAAACCGATTGTACATGAATGCGCATTGAGTGGGTGACTGTACTGAACCATCGACCTGAGTAATATTTCGCCTTACCATTAGGGTTTTTAAGTTAACATTGTGCCACCAATATTTGAATTGATTGTATTAGCTGATATTGGTGGTAACTGTGATTTTAACCAATCAGAAATGAAAGTTTCGAGAAACAAGTATTCGTTACCACAGACCTTTTCTAGGGGCTAAATGTTAATTATGATTTAAGTTATTATAATTATTTGGTGATTTGAAGACCAAATTGATGTAACAAACTCCCAGAGCATTCGAAGTGTTCCACGTCTTGAAGTCAAATCAAACTGTTATATTTGAATTGTATTGCACATTTATTCTATGCTGTAGCTAGTAAATACTATAAATATGCATATTCTTGTAGTAAATTTTTCTAAGTTTAGTTATACTCTTACATTGATGTCATTCTCAGCTTTCGTACCTTAATAGTTTATAGACATACGTGAGAACAAGTTAATAATATCGGTTATATTGAATAGATAGAATGTGGCTAGCGATGGTGTCCATGTCGCGCGTTTCGTCTGTAGTAGGTCCAGTGTGGTCTGCAGTGGTCGCACACTGCCGAGGAATTCCATACTACGCTGAGACACCTGTACAGTGCTTCAAGGTTTAATATATTATTCTAACTTGGATCGGTTCATAGTTCCAATTAAGCTAAAAAATTCAATGAATGAACCTATAAATGTTTATTTTCTTTCCATAGTTGTCATTTTACACTTTATTCGGTAGACTATCTAACTAACAATATGAATCAATTATTTTAGATAAAATTTTACGATAATGATTCTGTAATATTGTCCTCACTTGGTCTTTCGTAACGCGATGTGGCTGGGCGTTCAAAATCCTTTGCGATACCGCTGTATAAAACCTAGTGGATTTTCTTACCGGCCCTTCCATAACATCAATAATAAAGTCAGAAGGACTTCACCTATTATTTGTTATCGGAGATTTTTCAGCTCATTGTCTAGTTCATCCGTACCTCTTGGTGATTCGAATAGTCAGGTCAGCTTTTTTAGTTGTCCGAATAATCTCATTTCATTATTTGATATTGTTAATTTATTTGTTATGTAATTTGGCTTCTCAAATAGCTTGCAAATACAATAGTTCTTTTGGTTCGTTACTTATTATCTGAAAGCGCCATCTATCAAGGTAGAAGACATGTTAACTACTGTTTTTTTATCATAGTTTTCACCGGAGCTTTGCTCACTTCTTATGTCAGTCAGTCAGTCAACTACAGTGTAGGACCAGGCACATATATGCATCGGTCCAAGTTGCCATACTTCATTAGCACGACAAAATGAACACGAAATTCATAGTAGTTACTTCAATGGTAGTAATATATGAGAGAAAAATTGTGTAATTATGTTGAAACCATCGAACGAGAAATACCGAGGTTTAATTCAGTATAGTAGGTGTACGTGATAAATCTGTCGATGAAGCTGTTAATCTTCAACGGAGGTGACTGGGACGTGTTGCGTATGCTCAGCAACCAGTTTACCTCGACTCACAACGTTGGTTAGAGTTGAATTAGGTTGAAAATGAATTATAGATGACTGACAAAAGTCATAGCATCATCCCACTCAATCGTTGTGTATTGGTCAGTCGTTTTTATAAATGCAGACTATCTAGTTATACTGGGGGTATCGGTGGTTGGATAAGTCGCGTGACATAATTCATATTCAGTTACAGTGTCTGTGTCTGTCCCTTCCAATGTTGAGCTTCAACATTGTTTTGTACTTTTCATTTATAGAATTCATCTCTTTCCGAATTATTTTCTATAAGGCTTAGATTGTGCTCAACACCACCGGTACTACTACTACTACTGATTATTTTAACTCATGCAGTTTTATCTTGTCAATTTTATTTTGCGATTGTAGAGTAGTATGGTAATGCGCTGGTACATATTTATACCAGGTATTATATTGATTATGATTGACCACCTGACCTAAATGGTTTACTTCTTCATTAGTGGTATATAACAACAGAAATATATTAGCGTCTATGTTAGTAGTGGATAATAGATCGTTTTCTTTCGAAAATTGTCAAATATCTTTGCGAACTTTCCAATTGTTTATGGCAGATTCTATGGATACTTGTCGTCAATTGGAGCACCAATTGATTACCGGACCAATGACTCATAAACCAATCCTAACAGCATAGAGTCACTCTGAGTTCTTATTGAACCTCCGAGACAGTAGTTTCTCACCTAACCCAGCCGATTCACTGTAAAACACCAATATCAGCCTATTCTATATGAATCTTGTATATATGTATCTATGTATTCAAGTAAATCAGACTTCATCATACTATAAAATATAAAATAAAAATTATACAAGATCAGGCCAAAAATGGCTGAGTGTGAGATACTGTATCTAATAAATTGGGAACAAGTTGAGAATGGTAAATCGTATAATAGTAGTTAATAGGTCAAATGGAAGCTTATAATGAAAAGAATATGTATGTACATATAATATAGTTACTTAGTAGTTATACAATAAGAATATATATAATTAGTCTATAAATAGATTCTAGCAGTTACTATTCACTTATTCTTCGTCCGGATATGATATATACTTCATATTGTAATAATGATCATCATCTGTTTGTATATTTTAGTAACGTTGTGCAAAATTCAAGAGTTAAATAATGGTACATATATAATGAAATTTGCACTTTCCTAATTTTTGTTATGGTATTTTTTATAAGGGAACCTTAATTAATGTTATTATCTAAATAGAATTACAGAAGGAGCATATTATATATTAGTATTTTGACATGATTAACAGGCGTTTTCAGCCAAACTAGATGACTCTACTGCTTTCAAGAGAAATTTGTTCCTCTTTCTGTGTTAAAATTTCTGCCTTCCTGAAATGCTCATATTCATTTAATTATAGCTTTATCACTTTAAAACTGCTTCTGGCTTTGTTATTTATTGTATCGCTAATTTGAAAATCCTCCTCTATTTAGTCTTTGAACATATGGAAAAGGCATACATTCTTTGCCGTTAAATAAGAAATGTCCAATGGTTTATCGGTAATTCCACAATAATAGGACAATAATTTGGAAAGTATATCAACATTCCCTAGAAAATAATTCATAGTATTTCTTTGCTAAGCTACATAATTGGTGTTACTAAGGTTAATTTCATGTCAAGGTTTACAACTTCAATCGGTAGATTTTACTATGAGCCCTAAAATTTGGATGTATCATTATTACAGACATAAATTTCAATTAGTTCAAAATTGTCATGGAAAATGTACATCATGAATCCACACAGGGTATGCTTTTTACGATGAGATCCAGTATGAATTAAGAATATACTGCCAGCTTTTTTAAACTTTGGGACTAATTTATAAAATCCCAATTAGGAAAAATAAATCGAAACAAACAAATTTTTCTAACTTGCTTGATATTAACTGTCCTCAAACAAGATTAATTTATTATATTAGTGTTTTCATCTTCCTCACCATGGTCCGAAATACCATTCGTATCCATGACTCAACCCCTAAACTCGGTATACAACCCCCTCTATCTGCGTTCACATGTAAATGTTGTTTCATGTAATTGTTTACGTTCTTCTACTACGTTGGTGGCAGTGTTGAAGTTTTAAATTCCGCCTTTTTACTTTACTTGGTTTTCTACACTATTACTGTATTTGTTTTTTTATTTCTAAACTTCACCAAGCCATTATAAACCAATCTCAAGCTTGTCTAACACATTACTGATCGGATCTTGTTGATAGATTTGGTTTGTGTCCATAAGTCTGAATGATTCAATATCTCATGTACCGGGATTTTAGTTAATCGGTAAATGAGAATCAATTGCAAGCCCTGCTTATTAATTACCTTCAGTTTTCTAATTTCTGAAATTTATAATCATTGTCTTCTTTCTTTAAACATACATAGCACTCTCGTCAAACAAAAAAGAAAGTTGATTTTAGCTGTGAAAATATTGATGCACGTCTTGAGAAAGGTAGTTTAATTCAGGTTAGTGAACAAATATTAGTTTTAAATCTCATTGAGTATTCTATCTTTTGGACTAATGACATTGGATTTGTTATTCATAAATGTTTTTGTATTGAGTGCTTAATTATGAATGTAAAATATTGTTAGATACATTTTATTTTGATGCAAGTTTAAATGCTTATATAAAGTCATTTTCCTAAAAATAGTACTCACTTGATAGGTTTCCATGATTTTCATCTCCCTGATGTTATGAAACACTTTCCTCGACTGTATGTAGAAAAATGATTTTTTCATTTTTCGTGTTATGAAAACTTTACTTTAGAAAATAGATCAAATGTCTTGTAAGGAAGTTTGATAATAATGTTTTCATAGTGATTCCGGATGGTCAGTAT